CCTGGATGAACTCATCTATTAAAAAAAAAGTTAGTAAAAAATCACCCATTTAACAGTTAATAACACAATCCTCACCTGTAGAGTGATCCATAGACGCTGTTGCTTCATCCAGACATAAAATCTTGGAATTCCGCAGAATAGCTCGTGCTAAACAGATGAGTTGGCGCTCCCCGACACTAAAATTGTCCCCTCCTTCTAAAACCTCAGCGTCGAGTCCACCACGTAAACTTTTAATAAAATTCTCCAATCGAGATTTCCGGATCGCATTCCACAATTCGTTGTCCGTAGCTTGTCCTGTCGGGTCAAGATTAAAGCGGACATTCGCAGCAAAGAGCACTGGGTCCTGAGGAATAATCGCCATCCTCGAGCGCAACTCCGATAATGTCAGCGCAGTAGTAGCCACTTCATCAATGTAAATACTCCCACCGCCCACTCCACTATCAAACGATACCATACGGAAAAGTGCAAGAAGGAGCGAGCTTTTACCTGCTCCAGTGCGCCCACAAATTCCAACTTTCTCGCCTCCTTTCACAGTAAATGTAACATTGTGTAACACTGGTGCGGAGAGCGGGTCGTACCGTACACAGACATTAACAAAGTTGATCTTGCCGTGTTCAGGCCAGTGTGGTCGCAGCTGCAGCGTGCGTGACTTGGGGGTAGTGTAGCGTTCGTAGTGACGACTAAGCAGCGTCACTGGTTCTGTATTTACGCGGCAGTATTCATCGGTACGCTCGACGCTATTCATCATGTTCTCCATATCGATATTGTTACGAATGATCCAGTTAAGTAACGACGTCATGTTCTGCGAGTAACTCAGTAACAATCCGGCCATCGCACTGGAGAGCGCCACATGGTCGCGGCTGACGAAAAATGCGACTGCAAACGTGATCACCGCTCCAAGGAATTCCAATCGAACGCCAAGCCAGCGGTTTATCAAGTTTAACAGTAGAAAAGCCTTGGTGTTCTCGTTAATTTTCATCGCTTGTGTGTGTTGACTCTGCTCCACCATTTCAAACGTCCTGATCGTTACCAGACCATTCAAAGTCTGCGTCAAATGTGCGTACACGGGGCTCTTGGAGATATTATCCAAGCGTTGCAACTCCCGACAAGATTTCCCGTAAAACCTCTGGTACGCCACGTAACAAATGAACACCGGGATAAGCAGAATCAGAAGCACCGGAGCCGTCGAACTCTGAATTGCCAACATGCTGACTAGTGCGAGAAGCATGGTAACAAACTGGACGATGGCAGTGTTCAGTTTTTGATCTGTAGATGGCAGAAAAAATAAAATAACATTAATTTAACGGATAATAACGCTATTTTAAAAAGCAAACGCACCGATAGTGTTCACGTCGTTAGAAAATCGGTTGAGAATTCGACCGACAGGAGTCGTATCGAAGAAGCGCATTGTCCCCTTGATAACGTGACGAAGGAGTCTGTAGTGGATTTGTTTTGACGCACTAAATACAAGTGAAATGTTAGTTAGCAATGCATGTTAAGAACTTCGAGACCACCTTACCTGAGTCCAGCATATCGACAGCACAGATCTCCCACAAAGCCCAGCACGATGGTACTGAGACCGAGATACGCGTATATCGAGAGATAGAACGTCAAGTTAACTCCAGTAGGTTTGTTACTAGTCCAGTTGGTCAACCACAAATCTGTCGATACAGATGAGATCTGCGTTCCGAAAAGCAGCGCAAATGCTCCGACTGTCGAAATCACGCCGCAAGACACAAAGTACGAGGAATAAACACTCCACGACAGATTTCCCTCCGCCTTCTCTTCGTCCTGAACCAGAACACCAGTACCAGCAGCAACATCACTGACGCTAGAACTAGATCTAGATTTAGATCTGATTGTGTTCAAATTTCCAGATTGATCACCAGAATTAGAATCCTCAACAATACTTGTTTCATCAGCACGTTGAAACGATTTTAACATCGTTGCAAACTTCCCATTGGGCGTAACTCTCGTGAGGTCCTCGAATGTACCCATTTCCGCGACTTTCATGTTATCCATGACAATAATCCAGTCTGCTAGATGAGCGAACTGAAGCGAATGGATACTTAAAACACGCGTACAACCCGCTAAAAGTCCACCCGTTGACTCGTTAAAACACTGATTAAAAACGCGTGTAGCCACATGCACGTCCAGCGCTGATAGCGAATCGTCGAACACGTAAAGTTCCTGGTCTTTCGAGTACACAGCGCGTGCGATAGATACACGCTGCTTCTGTCCGCCGCTAAGTGTCACTCCATTTTCTCCGATCTCACTCTGGAAGCCATTTGGAAGCCCCACCAGTTCTTTTTCCAGTTCGCAACTCTTAATAACGCGGTGAAGGCGAGCTGTGTCCAATGGAGCGCCGAATAAAATGTTATCTTGGACACTAGCGTTGATCAGATACGGCGTCTGTGCAGCGTAAGAAACGTATCTCGTAGGGATACGAACCACCCCGTATTCCGGCTGTAACTCGCCCAGTAACGTCGCTAAAAGCGTCGATTTACCGCTTCCAACCGCTCCAACCACCAGTGTTAACTTCCCTTTTGGGATCGAGACTGTAACATTGGATAACTGAGCAGGAACCGAATCTTTATCGGATTCTTTCGTCGTTTTATCCTCTTCATTGGACCATTTGAATGTTGCATGGCGAATCTCAAACGAAGGATCGGAAATAAACGAAGCAGAGAGAGACGTGGAGCTGCGTTGCTGGCCTTCAAGATACAAAAAAGACTCGAGTCTCTTGACGGATACATTCGCTTGGAACAAGAGCGAGAAAACTTGCGGTAACACCATCAGAGGCAGGCGAAAAATGCTGAACAAAGTGATCGCGGTGAACGCCTTATCAGCCGTCAGAGGTTCGTTCTGAACGTACGAATACGCTGCAAAAGTTCCAAAAGACACGAGAACTGGACCTGCTTGTAAAATCACTCTCCCATAGGCGTTCCAGATGATCATTTTCTTGAGATAATACAGCTCTTTAGTGCGAATTTCGTCCACTTGGCCAAGCATTTCGCTCTCCCAGGCGTAAAATTTGATCACTCGAATGTGCTGGAACAATTCGGTCAGGAATTTGAGACGCCTATCGGTACATTCCAACATCTTTTTAGAAATTTTGGCGGCTTGAGACGATAAACCTGCACTTGTAGGTAGGAGGATAATCATAATTATCACACCAGCGAAGGATGCAGTGCCTAGGTAATGTACTAGAAGCAGCATGCCGATGATCAGTTGAATGGGAGCGGCCCACGAGTAGTGGATAACGTAGAACAGCTCCAAGATGCGGTTGGTGTCGATTGTAGCCATGTTCAAGATTCGACCTGAACCCAAAGTGCTCTTGGTTTGAGACGATATTTTCAACGACTTCTCGTACACAAGCATCGTCAGTGCCGAGCGCACGCGAATGGCTTCTCGTATCACTAAGTGGTGGTGTTGATGCAGACACAAAGTCTGTAGCACTGAGGCGACGAACAGCGTGCCGCTTAGAATGTAGCCATAATGAGAGGTCGAGAACATGGCTACTTTTGGATCCTCCACGTACTTGATCAGCGCATTGATGCAAATGGGTCCAACGAAGCCAAAGCAGTCGCCAGCCAGTTTGCAGGCCCCAGCCACGTACATGTTGAAGCCGAAGGCCTGACGGATCGGGATCCACAGAGATTGATTACTGTTGTCCGCATGGTTCACAGCGTCGCGCAGAGTGTTGGTCACTCGCGCTGTGTCATCTTCTGGTTCTAATGCCCACAAATCCTCGGCCTGGAGTGGTTGCGCAGCGCCCTGGTCCAACAGAGGCCCCAGCCAGCTGAAGGTGACGCGAGAGAGCCAGTGGGCACGAGCACCGGGGGCCTCTTTTTGCTGTTCGGGCTGTCGGGTGGACTCTGCGGCTGAATGCAGCGCCAGGAGCGGCGATGCCTCCCCACGTGTAGCCATAATTTTGGATTGGTTTCTACTTTTACAGTAATCATTTCAAGAATGAAAAGTACTACATCATGATGAAAAGTACTATTGAACTGATATGATTTTGGTCGATGTATCATTTGGTCTATAGTATTGAAGTTTGAAGTACTACACAACTTGTACATTAGTAGTAAAATATAATACACGTATTTATCGGTTAAGCGTTGTTAAGATTCATGTAACCTTCATCTTACTTTTTAAAAAAAAAAATGCATTTCAAGCCAATAGCGTGTTAAAAATTAAATCCGATGCCGCACTTTGCACGGAACAGCTCTGGATTTTATGCGACTAAATTTTTGTTGGACGTAAGGCCCTCAGATAATTTTCATACACTCAACTCCGACTGACCGAAGTTCGTGCTTCGTAGAGAAAGCATACTAATGTCGAGCCATCGTCAATTTACTCTCACATGGAGGTAGTTCAAACCAGTAACTAAAACGTTCAGAAAGGGGAGGCCGTTAACGCGAAGCTGTTAAAAAATATATATTATTTTTCCACAACAAATGAGGGGCAACTTCAACTTCATCAGTAGAACGCTTAATCGCTAGACCATCAGCTCGACTAGAGCAGGGACGAGGAGAGGCGGGTCTTCGTTAGATGTCTTGCTGTAGGAGCTAATTATCGAGTGAATAATGACGAGCGAGGATGACTGGCGAGTGGAGCTCCGGTAGATTGAGCAAATTGAAGTGGAAAATATAATTTCTCCCGCACTCCTTAGAGGTCGAAACATACCACACGAAAAAAATAAGTTAGCCTCGACTAAGCGCTCCGATACTGAAAAAAAAAGTCGCTTAGAAACTATGATGGCTGGCTATAGTGTTTGATATGCAGAGTTGGAGAGAAGGAAGTGCATCTGCAAATGTAGAAAGCTCATAAGGCCAAAGTCAATTATATAATTCTATTTACGCTGCATTTGTTCTTCTATCATGTAGTCGAGTACTTCAGTGCTCGAACTATATCTGAGGCGGGCTAATCTATGAATTTACTACTTTTTATCCAACTAAACGAGTCAGCCAGTGTTGGAAGAGAATTAGTAAGAAGACGTGATAATGAATTTTGAGATAAATAGCAAAAGTAGCACTGTTGTAAGTTAATGATATTTATTCGCCATAGGGATAAAAGATTCGTCGTCACGACAGGTGTCACTTAAATATCGACGATGTTCCAAGACCGCTCAAGGCATCAGGCAAATAATTTTTTGCTTATTGCGTGTTTTTGGTGTGTTGCCGACCAAACCTGGCGTTTTATGTGCATGTTTCTTCGATATTGTTAAATCTTTCTACTGCTACAATTCGTGTACTCAGAGTTTATGCATATGTTTAGGAAGTCTCTCAATAGTTTAGCAAATTACAAAATACAGATGAAGGGCAGTCACTAGAACCTAAGTGCATGAATCCCCACCGTGAACGTTTTGCCCTTGATTGGAATAAAAAAAACACGCACACACCCATAACAGGTATTGTACTTGGTATTGGGGGTTATTATTCTCACTATAACAATATATATATATCTGACGAGCGAAGTGAGACGGCAACAACTGTCTAAGAAATTAATCATTTAGTCTAACCAGAATCAACACTTCACTGAGCGAAGCGAGGTGGACTACACTTCATCTTGGTCAAAGCCTGCATATATAGCCCCGCTCGTGAGGCTAACGTTTGACTTGTGTGGTAAGATTATACTTTTTTGTTCTGGATGCCCATGATGTACACTCTGGCGTCGGTGTATCTCCTGCGCCTGCTTCACAGCCGCAGCATCTGCTTTTTATTTCAGTGTAGTTTTACGAGTACTGCCAGAGATCAAAACGGATGTGAGGTTAACGTACGTACCGGTAAATACCCTATTCGTTGAAAACATGTACTCCGCATCAACGTATAGTCATTAGTCATGAGAACACGAGGTACGGTCGTCAATAAATGTAAGGTATTTCCCATTTACAGCCACAGCCAGGGGTGTTTGCCACCTCACCGGCTGAACTGTGGCGATTGACGGCAACCCCAATGGGTACACCAATATCGGATAAACTACGAGTGTTACACGAAAGTTGTGAATAATTCTAACAGGTACTTAATTGTAGTCTCTCCGGATGGGTCAACCTTCACGGATAGTATAAATACCCAAACGAATAGTGAATATATCATGCCACTAAATAGAAAACGGGGATGTATCTATATCCTACTAGGTATTAAGAATCAAAGGATTACAACGTCGTTACAATCCCGGGTAGGATTCTGGATATAAAAGTCAGAAAATGTATCACCTGCTAACCTGTTTATTTTTGAGACCATACTGCCTCAAGCAGCGTTGCTTATTGTCGGCACCGCGCCGCAACGACAGCGGCAGCACGATGAGTATTCTCACCGCTGAACTCTTGTATAAATCCATCAGCTGACTGAGTTAGCGCCAGTCGTGGCAGAAAGTAGTGCTGAAAGGCTGGCGGAGCAGTTCTTTGGAAATCTAACTGAATCGCTTCAACGAGCGACTTGATTCGAACGTGGCTTAGCTGCAAATTAGTGTAACAACTTTGGGCACTGGTTGACGGCGAGCTTTGGCATTGCCAATCCGGTAGCACACTGTACAGAAGCTTCTAGAGACGTAACCCCATGGCGCTTCTGAAACAAAATATGGAAGTCTGCTCTTAGCTCCACAGAGAGCCGAGCCGAGTGCAGTACCCATGTATGCATGCCGCTCGATTCATCTAGTTGTTAAATGCAGATACCTACACTGTTTGTTGCAGAAACTTCAACTTAGTTAGCCATGAATGCAAAGTTGTTGTGTCCCGTCCATTCTGGTAGCAACGATACCACGAAGAGAATTCTCCTCACTGTCGTTTTTTTTTTTCTTCAGCGTCAGAGTAAGACGGCTCATGTTGTGGAGACCGTTCTGTGCAGACTCGTCAGCTAACGACAGACTGCGCAACCTAGACAAACTTAACGTCGGTCGTCGTGATGCTTTAAGACCAGTGCCGCCCCGTCCGATGGACGCAGTAGCTACTTGATTCCAATGTGACCTGGCTGTCAAAAAAAATTGCAACAAAATTGACATCGATTGACAGCGAGCATCCGCAGAGCCAGTGAGACAGCGTGGTTGCGTGAGTGCTGGTTACCCATGCGCGATGCACGACATTCACTTGCTGCAGACGCTGCAGACATGGCGAGGTTGGATATCATCCATGGGGTATCAATATCCCACTGATCCGCGGAACTGAAAGCGGCGGTGGTTGAGCATGCAGCAGCGTATGCAGCAACAGTGCCGGCACGGCCCTAGCAGCGCTAACATTGCCAGCCATCGGGCACTTAAGCCACGATAACGACACTTTATTTTTGCTGAAGTATCTATTGCCGCCGCGCACTTCAACGAGGTCTGGAATTTTTCTTATTCGCCTGACGTGGTGACGGTCTGCAATTGGTCGAAATTCACTTTAACTTGCACGAAACGGATTTGCCTTGACAGCTCCCGACACTGCTGCCACGATCTCGGCGGCTTGTTGCTCGATGCAAATTAGGGCGGTAGAAGAGAAGACAAATTAAAGAGAATTCGAATGCGCTTATGCCACGTCGAAGTTCTGTCGAACGAGAGAAGTACATCAGAACCTCGCTTTCCACCGAATCTTTCCGCATGAAGCCGAGACTTGGCAGGACGGCCGCTACTAGTAGTGGTTTACTAGTAGCAGAACCAGTGGGTTCCTAATCTAGCGAGCGATTCGATTGTGTGCGTGTGTGTGTGTGTTTAGCTCTCCTCCACAACTACGCCTGATTTGTTACTACGCATAAAAATAGTGAAGTCTGGATTAACATCAGTTTTTTGAGCCACGCAGACATACAGTTAAATGTAGTTACAAGTTGTCTTGTGTTGGCCAACTTGGTGATGGACGTCCTCCACGGAAATGAGGACACTTGTCCTACACCAGCTTCTGACATGTAAGTTGTGGCCCAAAGCGATCGGAACGTCATGCCGACGACCGTGACAAGTAAAGCCTGGCTACCTTCTTCAGGGCTTTCCAGCGCCTGTCCTATTATTCGCATCCGTTTCGATAATCCAGACTTTCCTACGGTCGAGACAGCATCGAGCGATCCATGTGCCTACCATTTCTCAATTCGCCTTCACTTCACCAATTCGTGATCAAAACCAAGCATGGCTCGAGTCTTCACTTCAGCGGTACTGCTAACGGCTTCCATCGTTTCTACTAGTGTCTCCACGGATACTGCAAACTACTTCGTGACACCCGAGGCTCCAGACTACAATAATGAGGTCGTGTCCAAGCTCTTGGCCAATGTGAATTCATTACGCAACACTGGCGAGGCGTACGCAGTGTTCGACTGGGACAACACGTGCATGTTCGGAGACATATCGGCCACTTCGATGTTCTACCAAGTGGACAACCTCAACTTCCGCTTCTCCCCGGACGAATTCAAGTCAATCTTTGCATTGGGCTACAACGCCAGCAGCAGCGACTCCTGTTTTCCCAATGGTACGGACTCAGTTATTGGCCAAGACGTTAACGGTACGGATGTGACACTAGTTGCAGCTCTCGCCGATACAGTGAAAGACTATAAAGTGCTGTATGATGCCTACATTGCCCCCGCCTACAACTTGACCAAGGATGTTGCAAGCACAACACTGAGCGAGATAAAGGAGACCACTGCGTTCCTTAACTTCCGTGCTAAGCTCAGCTTCTTGCTGTACAGTCTGATAGTAATGGACGGCGGTAACGAGTACTCCGAGTGCTCTCTGACCAATGCAATGATGGTTTATCCGCGTCTGCTTGTTGGTATGACTGAAGACGAGATCAGGACGTCAATCCGTGCCAGTCTTCGGTGGAACTTGGGCGAGTCGCTGGAATCTTTCACGTACACTTCAACCAGCGGTTTAGCTGTTGAAGGTTCGTACTCTAAAGGTCTGCGCGTCTTCAGCGGCCAAGAGGCGACGATGCGTGCGTTGCGTGAGGCTGGAGTCGAAGTTTACATCATCAGTGGGTCGCCTGAACTGTTCGCTGAGGAAGCTGCTGATCTCCTTGGACTTGGCTACCTGGTGCCAAAGGGAAATGTGTATGGCGGTCGCTTCACGACTGATACTACCGGTAAATTCACTGGAGAGCTTCAGGAGGGTTACCCGACTACTTGGGGTCCTGGTAAGGCCACTGTGGTCAAGAGCATTTTGATGCAGATCCACGGCGGTGCAGCCCCGATCTACGCGTCTGGAGACTCGGACGGAGACTGTGAAATGCTAAGCACTGTGCGTGACGGCATCGTGGACACGAACAACCGCCTAATGGACAACTCGACGTGCATCTACAACTTCTACGAGAAGGCGTGTTTGTACTTCGGTACAACCGAACCAGTCACCAACAATGCTTATCTTCTGCAAGGTCAGGACAAATCTATCGGAACGTGGATCACCTCTGGTTTCACCACTCAAGATGGCGTCATCTACTCGTCCGGAGTCACTACCAACGACGGGTGCGCAGCGTACAAGTTTCTCTAAGTCTAGTAATGTTCATACCTGCCACTAAAATGTCCAAAGTTGAAGCTTCAACCTTTTTACTTCATGTGCACCACATCATTTTGCAAAAGGAAACCCGCCTAAAACATTTGCAAAAGCGAAAGGCAAAAGGCAACGCGAGCCATCACTCTTGTTTTTTTTTTTGCCGTGCCATCACCTCGCACGATGGCACCGCGTACGACTCGCGCGGCCACAGCTGCCAAGCGTCGCGCTGCGAGTAAGAAGGTGGACTCTACTCGCTCCTCTCGTCGCCAAGAAGCCGCAAAGGAGGACGAGTACAAAGCGGAAGACCCAGACTCGGATCACGTCGTGGAGCAACAGACTCAGAATCAGACGCCACAGAGAAACCGAATCAGACATGCCACTGCCTCGGGCGAAGTGTTTTCCGGCAATTATTTATCACGAACAGGACGCAACTCGTCTGCATTGAGCAAAAAACTGAAACAAATGTGGCAAACGTTGCAAAAAACCTCGAGCAAACTGCAACAACGCGAAGACGGAGTGTTGGACGTCAATGCAACACGCCAACTGCAACTCGTAGCGGCCGAACTGCTGCAGAACAAGCTACTGCAACACCAGGACGCACTTGTGCGGTCCCTTGTGGCTTGTTGCCTGGTGGAAATCATGCGTATATCGGCTCCTGACTCGCCTTTTGCCTCGGATGAGGACCTCTATCGGGTCTTTAAGCTGCTTATCGAGCAGATACGAGATCTGTCCTCAGAACAAACCACAACATCGAGAGATCTGCACCATTTCCACGTGTTGGAGAGCCTGGCAACAGCGAAATCGTGTCTATTAGTGGTCAGTCTGGACTTTACCACTGTGGAAACCGAATCAAGAGTGATGGTCCAATTGTTCGACGCTCTTTTTGACACACTTCAAGAAGATCACTCCGCCAAGGTGGAAAACCTGATGCTCACTATCATGGTGGCGTGCATCGAAGAGAGTGACGAAGTGGAACAATCACTCCTGGGTGTGATTTTGCGCCCGCTAGTGAATGGGGCAAATTCGCAACTTGAAAACGAGAATGATGGTCAAAATGCCACAAGTCCATATCACATGGCAAAGGAACTGATTCGCCGCACCAGTGAAATTTTGCAAAACCCATTGTCAAATTTCTTCAACAATATTCTAGTTGACGGCCCTGGTTTGCAACAATCTTCAGAGCTCAAGGAACACGTGTACACTCTCATCTACGAGGTGCACAAGATCAGCCCGTCCTTGCTGCTCTACGTACTGCCCAACGTGTGTCTGCAACTGCAAGTGGACGAAGTGGCCACTCGCTCGGACGCAATCGCTCTGATGGGCAAATTATTTGCGTCCTCACACGCAGATTACGGCCATCAGTACATGAAAAACTTCCGAGATTTTCTGGGTCGATTCCGCGACGCAAGTAAGGAAATTCGACTGCAAATGATCCAACTGAGTGTACGCATTTGGGAGAAGAAGCCGGACATGGCCGATCTATTGGAAAAGGAGTTTATCTTGCGGCTAAGCGACCCGGAGTGGGAAGTGCGGCAGCTTGTGGTGCATGAACTGTGCGACTTTGCAGCGAACTGCTTGGATCTCATCAGCGAGGAGTGTCTGCGAGCGGTTGGAGAGCGCATGAAGGACAAGAAAGTCGTCTTGAGGAAAGAAACCATGACGGGGTTAAGTCAAGTGTTCAGCGCGCACATTTCTTCGTATTGGGAGGACGAAGAGCGGCTGTTGTCGCTGAATCAGCGCAACATTCCGGCTGAAAACATCAAGAAACTCGGCTGGATTCCAGACTTTGTGCTGAAATGTTACGCGTATCCTCAGCAAGAGCTGAAGCTGCGTGTGATTCAACTTGTAGACGACTTTCTGCTGCCCAAGGCGCTGTCTGAACACACTCGCGCGAACGGCCTTTTGTTCCTCTTCCACTCACTGGATGACACGTCGAAGGAAGCTTTACGTCGGATCTTCAGTGAACGCGCCAAGTGTCAACAGGTTTGCAGGAAGTTCGTGGAGTTTAAAGTGCAGAATCGACACAAAGGACGCGCCACTGACGGCGACGACGCTGCTCTGGAACAGGCGAAGCAGCTGCTGTGTGACGGACTGAGCCCGCTGTTCTCTGACGTCTCTAGACTGGGTAAACTAGTGGATAAGTTCTCGAAGTGGAAGGATCACAGTGTTGTCAAGCACTTGGGCGAGTTGTGTGACTTCTCCAAGACTCAGCGTGAAGCTCGTCAAGCGAGAGACCAGTTAGTTCGCAGCGTGGGGTCCAAGACTCCACTGGGCGAGTTCTTGAAGAAGCTGTGTCGAAAGCTTTCGCTACTGACGATGAGTCAGACTTCAGTCGCTGTCTTGTTGGATTTCTTGGTGTTGAAAGAGGCTCGACCGGCGAGAGAGAACCGCAGTATTGTGGACTTGTTAGTGATGGCGTCAGGCGAACTACCGGAGCTGTTTGCCCCATTTATCCGTGACAAGATCGCGGCAGTTCTAGTCGATAGAAGCGGTAATTTATCCGACGAAGAGGACGAGGCCGTGCCGAAGGACCCACGAGTGGCCCTTGGAGCGTTGCATGTGCTGGCCAACTACTCTCGTCATTGGGCTTCAAGTGGTCTAGATGACGACAGCAACTCGCCGTCAGCAGAATTATCACAGCAGCTTGAGAAATTCTGTCTTGGAGACAGCGACGTCGAAGCACAGAACTTTAACTCTGCCAAGGAAAGTCGAGCAGCTGAGTTGGCGGCGTTTGCTGTTGCTCATTACTATGGACGAGCGGAGACTACGATGGACTTAATCAGTAAGTTGTGCTCGAAGACGAAGCCTAAAGCCAGAGTGTTGCCGGCGTTGCAGAGTCTCGAAGTGTTCACGAAGTACTGCAGCCATGTTTTTACAGAGGACAGAGAGCTGTTCTCTCGTCTATGGACGAATTTACTCGATGTGATTGGTAAGGGCGAGCAGAATACTCCAGGCACACCGGGGACACCGAAGGGCAGTAGACCGGCGGTAAAGTTAGTGGAAATTCGCTGTTCAGCCATCAAAGTGGCGGTGAATCTGCTCGTGTACTGCTGGTCTACTGCCTCCCAAGAAGACGCTGGCAAGTTGATACAATTGTTGTTTGGAATCTTACGTAGCGACGGGAAGACATTCGCCTCCACTCCTGCTCAGACGGCTGCGTTCCGAGCTACAGCGTCGTGTGGCTTGATGAAGATCATGCGCAATCGACAGCTAGAAGCCACGATCTCCGTGTCTGAGTGGCATCTAGTAGGCTTCACACTGCAAGACTCAAGCGAGGATGTTCGACGAAGGTTTTTGAAGAAATTAACAGCACATTTGATGAAGCACTCTGCTCAGCACCCGCACAAGTACCTCGCTTACTTGACGTTAGCTGCTACAGATGCCAGCTCCAGTATCAAGAAAAGTGCCAAGAATTTACTGAAAATCGCCGTGGAACGCATGCGCCGCTTGTTCGATGCTGCATCGGAGATGTCCAGTCCAAGACAAACCGGTTTGAGTGCTGTTATGGTCCCGGAGTACGCTTTACCCTACGTCATCCATCTCCTGGCTCACCATCCTTCGTTCCCAGTGAAGCTGGTGGAGAGAACGCCGACTGTGATGGTAATAAACAGCGCTCTGTGGGCTGATCAGCTGGCGTATCTGAGCTTCTTCCTCGACGGTCTGGTCTCTACAAATGCAGCAGCGGCAGACAACATCGCCTTCTTACTGCAGATTCTGACCAAACTCTCGCAATGTCACGACGTGATGTCCCCCAACGACGTTAATATTTATCCTCTGATCGACAGCACGGCCGCGTTACTCAAGAAGAAAATCAAGAAACAGTCCAACTTGAAGCCATTCCCAGGCAAGATTTTCCTGCCTAAACATCTCTACAGTCCAGGAAGACCAAGTACACTCGCGACGCCAGGCGGGAGGAAGGAGCCGGAAGCGCCTGAGTCGCTGAATGCAGCACGCGGTTCAAGACTCAGCGTGCGTATTTTATTTTTTCTTAATATTTGTGGTTACTCATGTTGTTAATTTTTTTATTGCAGACTTCTCTGTCGCCGATCAAGCCGATGGATTTTGCTGCGCATTTTATGAAGTTGAATTCTCCTCCTGGTAGCTCGTTGAAGAGCTCTCTGAATAAACGCAAACGCTCCCTGCTAAGAGAAGATGCAGAGGAGAAGAGAGAGGAGAATGAAGACGAGACTATGACACCACCTCGACGCCAGTCGGTGCTTGGAACGGCTCGGCCAGTGAAACGCACGTATGCGGATGATTCCAGCGATAGTGAAGCGGAGTCGTTGGTGCCAGGCTCGGCGTCTTCGCGCTCTCGTGTGGAGCTAGCATCGACACTGCGTTCGGTTGCTTCACGCCAAGTGATTACGGAGACGATTGGTGAAGAGAAAGAAGAGGAGAATGAAGCACCAGCAAAGAAACGCATGACAAACAAGGGACCTGTTGCTGATGGCATGGCTGACGATGAAAAGGTACGAATATATTTACAGATAAGAGTAGACTCGCAATCAGCTCACTTCGTGTTTGTACGTGCAGCCACGACTTCGATCAGATCAACGCCACCACGTTCAACCAACGGACAGGCTTTAAAACTGGCAAACGCCGTAACTTTATTTTAGCATTTAGTTTTTATTTACCACTAACGTTGGCAAGTTTTATTGTGCGGTTCACTATCGGTTTCCATTTCCAATATTTTTAATGCCTTTTTTTGTTAAGGCCGGCATCGTTTGATGCATTTTTATAAAATCACACGGAACAATCAGTGCGTACTTAACCCCCCCCCCCCATAGTCATAGCGTAGGTAACCCGCTTTCTATTCCTGACTAAGAGTTTCCTATATTGCTTAACTAGATGAAAAGGTGATATTGTACGAGACTACCGAACGAAACTAAACACTCCAGAGCAAAATTCTTCGTTAATTTGTATTCGTTTTGACAACTGAAGGCGAAGGGAGAATTTTACCTTGATATTTTTGTATATTGAGGGAGTACAACCATCGTCTGCAATTGAACATGTGTGTCCCTATTCTTAACACCTGCATTGACGATAGTAACCATTACGGTAATGTTCCGAATGATGACGGTTATTCGTGCTGCACGAATAACCATCTTTCGGACCCGGACACCCTACGTGTAGTCTAGTATATAACGTACTGCAGTTTTATTCATGTATCTACCACTTTTCAGTCTTATGGCAAAAACATTTCAGCTTGGTGATACGTGTACAACGCAATATAGCATATCCATTTTCGCACAATGCTGTGGGGATTGTACCAGACGACTAAGACGAATGCTGCCGCCACAGTCGACGGCGACGACGTGCAGACAACACCTACCTACATCTACTCCTGGATGCTGGAGGACCGCATAAACATTGGACTCGTATACAACTACGTATGTGCCGCATCATCAGCGGCTTTCGTCAACAAGCACCAATGGTTGGTGCTGCGGAACTGGAGCGTGTTGCACGCTCCCTGTGGGGCAATTAGAAGCAGGTAACCAGACTGAGAAGCTATTTGTTTCAATAAACTCACTTCGCAACTTACTTTGAAGCGCGCAAACGTCATAAATGCCCGAATTGAAGACAGGAGAAATACCGTACAGCAAAAAGTATAGAATCCATCCAACTGTGCATTGTCTAAGATTGTATTAATTGTACAAAAATGCAAGGCCTGATGACTTGACTACTTGATTGTGTATAATCATTGAACGCAATCAAGCAGCTACTAAACAGTGGGGCACCGTGAGTGATACTAGTAATGAGCCTTTGGAATACGGTCAGGATAAGCCGTTCTGCAACAACAGCACGACAATTGCGTACATTATTCGCTTGGTAATGTGTCTTAATTAAAACGTCGTAGGCATTCACTTCATTCCGCGATTTCCTTTGAAGTCAACAAGTCGTTAGTTTTGATACAAACACAAAACTACTCAAGCTTCCTCGCTGTACTGCTAACAACAGACAACAAGTATGCGCCTCACATGGATCCTCGCCATGGTGTTAGCAGCTACTCTCCAGGCCAATAGCATTGCTCTCCCCGCGGCCAAAGGCACTAATGCCATGTTCGAGAACGTGCCATCGCCTGATGTCGCTGATTCAGTCCGTGCAGGCGGCGGACGATTGTTAACACGTATCGAGAAACCTGCGTCAAACGAAGATGCGATCGAAGAAGAGAGATTTTTTTCGAGGTTTATGCGGTGGTACAAGCATAGAGCGAGTTTGAGGGCTGAAAGCAAGCACGCAAAGTGGCTCGCAGAGAAGTCCAAGGAGATTATTGGCAAGTAAGAGCGCAATCATCAGCAGGACGTGGGGCATGTCCTCTCGTCTCACCCTCGGGTTCTTAGTTTCATGCTAGATAGCGCATCGCATACTTGCAACATGCTGTGAATCCTAGCTTGTGTTAACGAAATAACCTATCAATGACAAAGTCGAGCCTTGGACGAAACTCTCAAATCTTAACTCTATCAGATTTCTGGTATCGTAAATCTGCCACAACCAAGTCGCTCTCAGTTTGCTGAAGTGCTGAAATTGGAATAGTAATACTTAAGTACAGCATACCAGGCTAATGACCAGAGTAGCGACGATGGCATCCTAGTTAATGCGGGTTGATAAGGCATACCACTATCAATGGGCTTTCATTTAATAAATTGGATACCAGGAAGGTGTTGGCAAATCCATCGAATGTAGTACGGACTTCACGCCGCCCTCCATATTTCTCCTAAAAAAATGTGCCTAACTGAAAAATATCGGTGCATCGGGTTTGAACTCGCAGATGTTTCTGTACCTTAAAATGGTAAAGTTTTTTTTTTTATCAATTTGTGCTTACTTTCTAAAAAAAAATAATAATATCGTGGTATTTAGTTAAATGATAGCATGTGAAAAATGTAACCAAGTTACGATATCGCTGTGGTCAAGCGCAGTGTAGGAGCGTACTTGTACATGACAATACACTTATTGACAATATCTTAGTGATGCGCCACTTCTACGGCAGTCGTCACCCGCAGCATGTAGTAGTATTCGTGGTTCGATGGTACTGTGAGCTCATCTTTCGCACGAGCGTATTAATACCCGCAGCACAACAAAGCAGAGTGGTTTCCATGGGTCCGGGAGTACGGGTTACAATACGTCATTCATCTTGTGGCCCACTAGTCACCATTCCCAGTGAAGTTGGCGGAGAGAACTCCGGCACTTAAGGTGCTAATAGCGGTCTGTTGATGGTGTCAGTTGGCATTTTTTTCTAAGCTTCTTGTTTGGTCTCTACAAGCACTGCAGCGACAAACAACACCGCTTTTCTACAGTAGACTCTGATCAAAGTCTTGCAATGCGACGACACTAAGCCCCTCGACGACATTAAGGGCATACATGTATGGAGATTTTTTATTTTTCAAATGCACGCTACTTTAATTTACTGCCGTATTAGGTTAAATAGGTTAAATTAAATACATGCGGACTAATTTAGCTGTTGTGTTACTACTACTTGTACTTGAATTTTAGGATAATATCCCAAAATTCATGCGCATGCAACCACTCCTGCTTTTTTGCTTGTTTCCTTTCCGGGTGGAGAACTTACTCCTTGTCGAAATACAAGAGCCCATTCGTTGTTGCTCAATCTAGGATGGAATTCGTTCAAGCCAAGCAGCTCTAGCTGGGGCGCGAGTCTACTCACCGGTGTGAAGCTTGAAAGTCTTTCCAATCACACCACCTAGTATCACTTTTTTCGCGGTACCACATGCTAAATCGTATATCCTGCAGTTTGTTGCAAATTCTTTCGTACGTCTTTTTTTTTTCTTGGTTTTACTGTTGTCTACCATCATCATGAACACGTTAAAATGTACACAAAAAAAACTACGAACTGTCTGCAGTATGAGATTTATTTTTTGTTTGCTTCGGCGGCCGCATCACCGACACCACCAAGCCTTGTTGTTGGCGAGCTCGAGCTCCCTCTTACGACAAGTCTGCCGACCAAAATGGCTCCAAAACAAGTGGGTATTCGCTCGTCGACTCGGTTTCAAACGTTTGGTTGACGGAATGCTTTTTTTTTTTTTACCGTGGTTGATTGGTTCTAGAAGCGCAAATAGGCTATAGGACCTAGGGGAAAATCTAAGATTGTGATTGCCGATCTTGACACAATCAATTATTGTGATTGACAATCTTGACAATCCAACAACTCCAATCAATATTTGCATACCCCTGCCAACAAGGAGCACTATCGCAACATCAGTGGTATTTTGTCTTCTTCCCACATGAAAATTCTGGCCGACCTACAACTTGGGAGGCTGCAGGAACGGCTTAAATGGGGTCGTGATGACCGTGAGGGCGGCGGTACGAGCTACGTACTCACGCTCGGTTAGCGATAGGAAGGACGCAGCGTTGTCGTACTTGGTGTGGGCGTGATCTTCAGCCACCTGCACCATTTTGTAGACGTGCTCGTCTGGGAATCCAGGGATAGCAAGGGCCTTCTCACGCAGCTGAGACCAGGATGGGAGCGCAGCGAGGCGGTCTTCAAGGCTGTCGGATGGACTGCAGATGTCTTCCCCACGGAAATCGCGCACGCGGGCGGTCACAAGCGCCGACAGAGCCACATGCAGCCACACTCGCCAAGCCTTCACCTTATCGGATGGCGACAGCAAGTGCTCCATCTGGTGGACCGACCAGGCCGATGTGACGGCGTGGAGAATGATAAAATCGTTGTGCTTGAGCATGACGTACAGCCACATCACGATATCGAGGGCGTAGCTGCCGTCGAAGTTCGAGAAGTCGAATTTGTTGACCTCGTTCCAGATGAGAGCAAACGCTTCAGGACTGTTTCGCTCCGGGTGGCCCGAGAATACGTTGAGGCCGCGCTGGATCCAACCAATGTCGAGGTCCTTGACCGGCGAAATCGCCACGAGGCGATCCTGTTCGGACAGTAGGAGCGCGTTGCTGGTGAGTGCGTCGGCCAGCTCAAACACCGTTTGACGAGTGAATGGCCGCAGTGGCTCTTTGCTAAGTGGCATTTCCGGCTCATCATATGGCAAGTAGCAGTGGTGTTGGTAGGCAAGTCCTTCAGCAACAAGTCTATCACCGCCGATGTGGTACGCATAGCCCAGCTGGATGATGCCGTGTAGCAGCGCACCAGCCAACCCACTGAAGAGATTCGGCAGGTGCTTGCGTACCGCTCCATCAACTCCGAGCTTCTTGATGTCGTGAGCATAGTACGCGAGTAGAGCATCATACTGCTGGCGCTTGCCCAGCAAGGCTTCAGCTTCTTCATTCGAAAGGATATCGATCGTTTCTGCAGCCTCTACGACGTCTTCGTGGTCGGGAGCCTCGACTTCAAGCTTCCGAGTGTAGTACGCAGCGTAGTCCGTGATTTTTTGCTCGCTTGCGCCGAGCTCATGCAGTGCTACAACTACGTGCAACAGGTGATTGGCCAGGTAGTTCTTGAACTCGATCCTGAAGCGGAGAGTCGAGTAATCACGCGTTAGCATTTGGCGGACATACTCGGTAGGTAGCTTAGCATGGGCCGGGTTGCCGGTTTTAGCATCAGAGATCGAGGTGGTCATGATTGGAAGTGGGAGGCGATGTTGGATGGTAGTTGCACTGTTGCAGGAAAATTGGGAAATGACTTATCGAGGAAATTGCAATGGTCATCAGCTCTGCTCTGGCAGTTGTGAGACCTGATAACGTCCTGCACGGAATTATCGTAAACAAATCAGTTTAGGGTATGGTGGTGACTAACTTTCCTGCATACGTCAACATGCGCGAGCTACAGCTACTGCACGGTCGGTCTAAGTTTTTTTT